GGAGGGACTCAGGAGCAACCGTTCGCTTTAAAAACCAGAACTCAGGAGCAGCATTCAGCCCAATCCCAACAACAACACCCCCACCACCACCAAGGCCCTGACCACAAGGAGCCAATCCCTGCCTCCACCAGGGACTACAGCGTCACAGCAGTGCCCAGCTCCCCTCGCACTGCCCGCCGGGCCTCCCTTCCCACCACTCGCTATGGCATCTCACCTGGGGATTTATTCATAGAGCAGCAGGCCCAGAGCATCCTCAACAGGCAGGGGTGAGTTTATAAATATTAACATTCATAAAACAAGTGGGGTCATAAGGTCATCACCAGCATTTTTATGTGTTAGAGAGCAGGACAAAGTGCTTACAGAGAACCAAACAGATAAACAAATTCAAATGTGCATATTTTTAGTATTATGTCTAATAAACATGACTGACATTTTTTCTTGGTTAAGAAATGAAATTTTCATATAGCACAAAGGTCCCTGCATTTACTTATCAACAGATTATAAATGCTTCTGTATGTCTGTTTTGACATTAGCCCTGTTTCACGCACCTGCAGATATAATGCTATAATAATCATAGTTGTAACAGTAGTTCTTTCTTTACTACCCAAACGGCCTACATCTGCCAGAGGTCGTTAAGCTCTAGTTAGTTTGCTTAGCTGTGTGCTGCTTCCCATGTAACATGAAATAGTCTTTCAGTGCAGAGTCTGATGTTGTGTCTACGGTGTATTTTTACACAGCATTTAGACCCCAAGAGTTTAAACCACATGATCACCTGTTTTCCCACTGATATTCACACCTCGCCACTTGCCAGTAGTAACTTCCTGCAGGAGCATGCTACACAGGTCCACCTTTTTTATTGTGATAAAGTCTATGACACAAAGTAATTTATTACATATACTCGCATGATGTAGACAATCCAGCCATACACAAAAATGTGAACATGGAAAAGTCTTTGTATTGAAGCCTCCCAAAATGCAGTGCAGTATGAGCTGTGTAATGGGAGCTGAGCTAGTCAGCCTGCTGCTTTTACCACTATCCCAGTGTTGAGATCTTTCTAGATTGTGGGTCTGTCATACTTGCCTGGTTCCAGTTTCACATAGAGAGGTGCTCTGGGGAGCTCATCAGGAAAAGGCTGCAGGGTCAGTTTTTGGAGGGGATATGATTTCCCTGTTTGCCTCTGAGAGGTGACCCTGACTTAACAGCAACATGGAAAATTATCTTGTATCATCTTACATTGTATCATCTGTGCTTTACTGAGCCCAAATCAGAGAAGCAAGGTCTGCTGTCTCAATACTTTGTCCCTAAAAGACTTGGCACTAAGATTACACATATAAGAGTACAGTTCCAGGAAACTGAAGTACTTGGCATACTTTGTGTTACAACTTTTCTGTTAAGTAAGCTGGATCACATTCTATAAACAGATACCGTCCTCGTCACCTACATTCATGTTAATTTAGTGTGGCTCTGTTTGGCCTGGTTTCAGGAGCATTTGAGTGGTGTTGGTGAAATGGAGTTGATTGGGTTGACAACATTAGGCAGCTCCAGACTGTGACCCAGCCAATCACAGACCCACTGACTCAGTGCTCGTCAGCTAAGGCTTCACCACCACCACCACTCTCAGATTCCAGCCTGTTAACCTCTATGAAATTACATCTGTGTCTTGTACCTTGTTAGTCACCTTGACCTTGAGAGCTTGCATGCACATTTTTAATCACACAATATGGTTTTGTGCTGAAAACACTGCGGTGAAAAACAGATTAACAAACATTTTACAGCCCTGAGTCGGAAACAGTTGGGACAGTACGTAAAATCAAAGTTAAAACTGCTAACTTCCTATAAACAAGTCTTAAGGTGCAACAGTCCTGGGTCTTTGTTGACGCAATTTGTGTTTCAAAACACACCACACATTCTCTACTGGGGACAGATTGGGACTGCAGGCAGGCCAGTCCAGCACTCAGCCCCTTTTCCTCCACAGCCAGGCCTTGGTAATGTGGCAGTATGAGGTTTTGCATTGTCTTGTTGAAATCTGTCCCTGGAAAGACATCATCTTGAAGGCAGCATATGTTGCTCCAACATCTCTCTGTAGTGTTCAGCATTAATGGTGTCAAGTTACCTTTGCCAAGGGCACTGACACAACCCCAGACCATGACAGACCCTGGCTTTTGGATTCTTACTGCTAACAGTATGGATGGTCCTTTGGTCTGGAGCACACAGTGTCCACTCCTTCCAAAAAGACCTGAAATACTGACTCATCTGACCACAGTGCACATTTCCACTGTGCGATCATACAGTTTTAAGTACCATTTATGGATGTAACTACGTATTGTAGTGCCAGACACAGGTGTGCCAAAGTCATCCTGAGCCCATGTGGTTATATCACTTATAGAAGAATGACAGTTCTTGATGCGGTGCTGTCTGAGGGATCGGAAAGCTCGGTCATCCAGCTTAGACTTGAGCCCTTTGCCCACTGAAATCCCTACGGTTTTAATTTAGATTTGCATACTGTCCCAGCTTTTTCTGATTTGGGGTTGTATCTGAGTATCCTGGAGGGTTTTACATTAAAGTTTTACATCCTTACATGCTTTTCTTGACTGGACAATCACAGAAATACATGATATAGTTCGCTTTCAGATGTGTCTCAGAAAGTATATTCTGATCAATGTTTAGTTTGTGTAAGGGTCCACTGTGTGCCACTGGTGCTGGCTGCCTCTGTGGCTTTTTCGGCTGCTTATACTGTACTAGCTAGTATTAGTGTGTACTCATGTAGCACAAGTACTATTTAGGTCTGTGTCTGGCTTAATGGGCTACAATTAGATTAGAGCAAACTTGGTTACCAGAGGCCAGAAGGTTGTAGATGAAAATAGTCATCTTACATTTTTGGCACAGAGGCATCAGATGGAGAGAGTTGTTTAAACGAGGATATGCTGCTGCTACTTGGCATTGATGAAATTCTAGTGTAGGATTTGGGTCCCATGATGGTTTCATGTCATAAAATTTGGTTGACGATGTACACCTGGACCACACATTGATGACAACTGTGATTTGCTGGAATACATTTTTTTGTGGGAATTAAATTGAGTGTGAGTTAAATTAAAATCAGTTGTTAGATTTGAGCTGTGGGTATTAATAAGTTTGTCTGAAGTTCTCCCAACTACCTAGTTGGACATTGAAATTGTGGCTGGTTTATTTAATCATTTTCCAGCCTTTGTGTCTCATGGAAAAAAATCTTGGTACATGCTCTTTAGGTCACCTTTTGTTTGAGATGAGTTTTTAGTTCAGAGAGTGTCCTAACTCCTCAAATGAACTGGAATCTCTGTGTCCCTTATCCATTCCTTTCTCCAAGAATCCGAGCAAGGGAACGATTGTCCAAGGATGAAACTGCCCAGAGGCCCCCTGACTGGAGTCCAGACATACACCAAGCTAGCAGACATCATACTCAGGGGAAGATTGCTCAGTATACGCCACAATACTCAGAACCCACCCAGCAAAGGACTGTTCCCCAGCTTCAGCCTAGTTCAGGTCACCATTCTGCCCACAGCCAAGCAGCCTACCCTCAGTTTGACCCTGAGTACCAACACTCTGGCCCTGCTCTGGACTCTCAGCCCTGTTTGGCCATGCCTGCTACAGTGTCCAATACCAAACTTCCTGGACCTCCTGAGGTACAACCACGAAGGAGAGTGAGCACTGAGCAAATGTATGCTGCCCACAAGGAGGCAAGAATAGAGGCCAGACAGGTTCTGAAGGAAGAGGCTCATACAGAGGGTTTGTTGAAGAGCAGGAAGGCAGTGTTGCCCTCGGAGATTCGCCGAAGGGAAAGGAGTGTGGATGATACTTACAGGGGCGGGCATGAAGACATGGACTGGCAGAACTACAGTCCAGAACAGAGGAGGACGAGTCAAGGAGAGGAAGACTGGAATCTGGAGAGACTGAGGGAGAGCGGAAGGGAAAGAAATGTTGAGAGAATCAGAGAAAGAGGGAGAGAGCGTCTTTCCAGGGATTACAGTGAAGAGGAGAGAGTATTTAGATCTATGCAGCCTATCAGCGGCCAGCAGCCTGGGCAGCATCAGTCCTCAGAGCCTGTGTACCTTGAAGAGCCCCAAATTCAGCAGCAAGAACCCCTGAAGCAGCACAGCATCATTGCGACACCTCGGGACAGCGACAAGGGGCTGAAAGACAACAACATTCTCAAAGACAGAAAGAGTATGAACCACTAAGTCAGCAGCAAGACTCGCAGAAAAAACAAGAGCTCCCACCAGAAGATGAGTTTGAGTTTCAGAGACAGCAGCAGGATCCGTTGTGGCAGCAGAGGCTTGACTCAGCTGATTATGTCCAGAAAAGCCCCTCTGTCACTCTGGCCAAACATAGAAGCATGGAGATGAGCGGAGGGCCAAAACCTAAGATACGAACCCGCTCCATGTCAGATATAGGACTAAGCAAGCATTCTGCCATGTACCGCATGGAGAGGACAGCAGCCAGAAGAGAGCAATCCAGGGCCGTCCCTCAATCAGAGGTGGCTAACGGGGAAATGGGCACCCTGGACACCCGGGTGTCAGTAGCACAGCTGCGACACTCTTATCTGGAGAACGCCAACCGGAAACCTGAGTTGTAGGTCCACTGGCTTGGGCTCTGTGTTGCATTGCTAAATAACTTTATAACTTTGCACTGGTCAGCTGCTGCAGATAGATAATCCAATGATGATCCAAGAAAATAATGCTGATCACTGACAGGAATGAAATGCTTGAAGGTGTGTGCTATGATGTCTATCATTATCACATTTATTGTAGTGCAATTTTGTTGTTTGAGCTTAACTTACCTTTGCAAGTTAGCATTGGGCCTTGCGAGTTATTCCATAACAGTTGCCTGCTGCTGCATGTTAACACTTGGTAACTGCTCTTCACAGTTAAGATACAATAGGTTGTGCTTAGCGTGTGTGGGCCTGTTCTTCTAATCTGAAGTTTCTGGTAAACTGTTCATTCATTGCAATAACTTCAAAACCAACCATTTTTTTCCCTTCTTGCTGTCTTCGCCAATCTTTCCAAATTGACCCACCAAAAGTGAGACTACTAAAGTAGATCTCTCAGCAATGGAGGTAGATCCAGCTAGTGGCAGTATTCGGGACAGGGGCACTCGGAGGCCTCGACGCTACATCACCCCAGGAGACAGTCGCATGTCGGAAAGGTTTAGGACCCAGCCCATCACATCTGCAGAGCGTTTGGAATCTGATAGGTATAGGAAGGGCTTTCTGCAGGAGCTCTTCAAAATTACTTCATTTACAAAGATCAATACTCTGAGTTTTGGTGGAGCATGGTTCTACTTTGTCATTCAGATTATTGTAATATCCAGTAATTCTTTAAATTTAAAAATGTAGTCTAAATGCTGATGCTTGATATATATGATATAAATGAATTTTTTCTACAGGTCCCGTCTCAGCCCAGCACAGCTGCAGGAGGCAGAAGGTAAGTTCATCCACTGCATCCATGTTCAATGCATATACATAATTCTTTACAATTAAATGTTAATTTACAAGGAAATGTCAGTGACATTTTACAGATGTTTAAATGCAGTAAACCTTTTTTTCAGTGGATGAAGAGAAGCTTGATGAGAGAGCCAAGATGAGTGTGGCTGCCAAGAGGTCTCTCTTTAGGGTACCATTCCCACTTTATGTTCATGTCAATCATAAGGACATAATTAATATTTTTGAATGGGTGATTTTTTTAAGCTCATAATTTCAAAACAAAAGCTGCAGATCAGTTCAGATTTACAGCTGAAAGTGTTACTTATGTAATTTCAACTCTTATATCTTATACCTGTGTATTAACTAGGTGTTCACAGACGTTCAAATAAATATTTTTGCTTTTAATTTCACATATCGCTGTATCAAATTTACTAAACTAACCTACTGATGTCTCCCTGACATGTTGTTCCAGGAACTGGAAAGGACATCAGAGGGAGGTGTTCCTAAACCGCGGTCTCGAAATTCTGCTGTAGAAAGGCGTCTCAGAAGAGTTCAGGACCGCTCGCACACCCAGCCCGTCACCAACATAGAGGTGGTCAATGTTTCAAGGTTGGTCTTAAACTGTATCCTACTTAAAAACTGTAGCTGTAGTTTGTATCATACAGTTTGTAGGGCCATTTTCTTATTTCTGTTTACTTTTTCCTGTTCTTCAGTGCCTTTCCTGTCCTTTTCACTGTCCCTTCAGAAAGCTCCATCAGCCTCTCTCAAGTCTTTTGTTTTTACTCATCTTACATTTTCAATGACTGTGTTTCCCTGTTTTGAATAATGCACATTTCACTGTATTTTTTCCTTCCTCCTTTCCTGCACTTGTAAGTGAGTCTGCCACATCATCACAGCCAGCGGGCGTCCATACCGCTCGCGCCCCCAACCCCACTGTAGTCAGCACCAGTGTGCCTGGCATCAGGTACAGCTATGTGTCTCTGTGTGTGCATGTGTTGTTTATTTGCTTAAATAAGTTCTGTCTTTGCTCTTTGTACCCGAGCAGGTTATATTGTGTGTGGCTGTGTTAAGTCTTTTGCCAACAGGATTCATTGCTGTGCACATCTACACACTGTGACTCTACCACAAAGGAAACAATTGTTTGCATAATGTGTCCTTGAATGCATTGGTAGTTTGTCAATAACTTTTGGATATTTCATGTATCACAAAATGATGAATGATGAAACACATTGAAACAATGACATATAATGCAGTTTTCTAACAGAAGCTGTTTCTTCTTGTGATGTTGTCATTTGTACTGAATAATGCAAATGTCCCATAGAAACATTTTACTCTCTGTCTCCCTCTGCTGGCGTAGTGTTGGGCCTGCTCTTTCAGCTCACTTGACTTTGTTATTTCTGTCCCCTCATGTGCTGTTTCTTAGCTGTGTGCACCTTATAGGGGAAGGAAGCCAATGTTTACACAATAACTTCTTCAGATTTTTTTCCATGCCCAGTTTCCAAGCATTCCTTCATGCTGAGTTTCTCACATGCAGGTCACAAATGTCAGTAAAGGAATAGGGTACATACTTTTTGGAAAGGTTAGAGGTTGAGCCAGTTAAAGCCTTCTGCATGTCACGAGTTCACGTGTCCCGCAGTTTGTTTATCAACTCAGGTTTAACTTAACACGCTGCTGGGAGATTGCCTGCAAACATCAGAGCGCATTTAGATGATTAGCCCTGGTGCTGTGCTTGCAATCTGACAGTTATTAAAGTTGTTTTCCTGGCTGGTGTTTGCATACGTGTTTGGTTGTTTGATAGTTAGGAGAGGAATACATCTACTTTTGAAACCTTAACACTGCATGTTTAATAAAAACTTAATGATTCAGCTGTTTTGTTTGAACAAGTTAATTATCTTATTTAAAACTGACATTTAACAAGCTTCTGATTAAATAGTAATTTATGAAGATTCTTATTCATCCGAGTGATATAATATGTAAAAGTGCGAAAAAAAAAAAAAAGACAGCTAGATTTGGTGTTTTAGTGTTGAAATAAAAAACAGCCTTTATTTTGTATTTAAATTTAAACTCTATATACCTTAATAAAAATGCTGATTTAGATGTTTGCATAAGATCTTTTATAACCAGTCAAAATAATTTTACTAGTCATTTATTGTTGTGCTTAAGACTTCTCCATCTAAAGTGGTTATTTGAAGACTGACACCCATCACACCCTGACATCTCCCTGTCACTCCCTCAGCATTCAAGCTTCCCCCCAGCCAGGGTCAGCAGTCCAGGAACAGGAGAAGGACGCCCATGAACACCAGAAACCAGCTCATGCTTCTAGTGCTGTGGTAAAGGGAGATGGCCAGGAGCCTGTCCCAGAGGAGCCCGACCTGTGTACCCTTAGCTTGGCTGAAAAGATGGCTCTATTTAACCGCCTCGCTCAGCCCAGGGGCAGAACTGCTGTACGGACCCGAGAGGGCACCCGTCAGCGCCGGGCCAACGCTCGTTTTCAGACCCAGCCCATCACTCAAGGAGAGGTGCAGCAGGTACAGAAGTTTATGCAGCCTTTGGAAGAAAACTGTTGCATTGCTATAAATAGTATATGAGCAATAAATGTTGAAGGAAATGAAGGCAGTGTTCAAGATCAAGGATGGTATTACCTGTCTCTACATTTCTGAGCTAAATATTTCAGTAAAGTAAGATAAACAAACAACGGTTAGACCTAGAATTAGAAAGACAGATCAGTAGACGTTAGACCTAGAATTAGAAAGACAGATCGGTTACAATGTTACAATATTACAATTTTTTTTGTTTTCTTGTTACACCACCACTTACCAACCATCTATCATAGTTGTTACCACAAAATTATGAAGATGAAGAATGAGGAAATAAGAAGAGCAGTTACTATACTGCAGGCTATAGCAGGAGGTGCCACAAAAAGCTGACAGCAGTGGGTAGTGGGTAGCAGAAATCTGTACCATTCTTATTTAGAGCAACCACTAGAACAGATGTGCAAAAGCCAATGTAAATGAGTCAAAATTAATAAAGCTGCATCAAAGCATTTCTCAAAAAGCAGCTTCACTTCCAGGTCACTGACGCTCACCGCTGCACTATCTCATTTTTCTTATTCATTATAATACAGTGTCCTCTGGACGTCTCAAATGACTAAATTCAACACAAGAGGTCAGAACTGCTGTCTCTAAGGAAATAATTTCGGCAGTCGATGTGCAGCCGTCCACAGCTGAACATCTTGTGTCAGGGAATATATTTCTTGTCTACTCTATATGAACTGAGACTATCCCATGAAACCATGTCAGATCCTACACGGTCACATCCATCATATTTCCAGCAGTGATTCACTCATGTCCACACAGGAAGCTGAGCCCCCTGTAACCTCTGCAGTGTGTAACGGAGGCTTAGAGGCCAATCAGGAAGCACATGTAAGACCCCTTCTGATTGGTTGCATTGATTGATCCTGTTAATGATTGATCTAGTTGGTCCCGCTAGTGGCCTGTTTTGGTATGGCAGTGGATGCTTACACTAGCTTTTCATGTTGTGCTCATAAACACAGTACAGTCTAGTGTGTGTTTTTATAGTTGTAAAGCTTTAGATGTACACTTGCAGTACTTATTTAAAGCTTAGGGTGGCCTCATTTGTTTTCTGCAGCTCATTTTCCTGTGACATATTTGTTTGTTGCATAACAAGCATGAGGTATATGAACACAAAGAGTGCATGCTACTTTATTCAGCCTTCCTCCCAGCCTGAATATGCTGGCAAAGAAGCTTTTCTAGGGGATCAGTATATAGATGGATCTGGCCTTGATATTGACTGGGTGCAGAAATGTGTGAGGGTCAAGAGGGTCAACCTTGAACTGCAAATAAAGCCAGTCAACATCTGGTGTACAGGCTGGGTATCTTATAAATGGTTGCATATGATAACCTTTTGGGCTGTTGCACAGATTTATAAAAAAGAACTACCACTGTTCCCCATAGAGTAACTCTACTGGAGCTGTTGGAAGGAGAAATGGTTCACATTTCAGTCAGTACACAGAACACTGAGCTAGATGCTAATAGTGCTACATCTTTAATGTTGTCCCCTTTAAAGGCTGTATTATAGGTAAATAATACAATTTTATTAACCTATTTAATCTTTGTAGCCCAGTTAAATATATAAATGCTTCAACAAGACAGTACTGATTTCCTTCTTCTTGGAGATCATTTAATCATTTTGATTAAATATTGTCTGAATGCAAAATTCAAAAATATTTTATTATGGGATTCTTTAAGCATCATTCAGCTGTTGCTTGAATTTAGGTACTCCTCCTTGCTTAGGGGCACATCAACTGTAGTTGTTACATGTCGATTTTCCTCATCTAGATATCCCTGCCTCACCTTAATTCCACTGACAACTCCATGCATGATAAAATGCCTTTGTGATGTTAAATGTTTTAATGGATGACATAGCTTAGATGCTAGAGTATCAGCTGCTTTCACTGAGGGTACCTGTCATTTGTCAGCGCCTGTCTGTGCTTCTCGCTGCCATTTTATGAACTACTCAGACTTTTTTCCTTGATTTGTTTTAATTGCTGTTGTGCTTCCTCTCATCCACTTATTTCCTACCTCTCATCCTCTTCGTTGTCCCACTGTTTTCATCACCACCTTCCTTTTGTAACACCCACACATTCCTCTGCCTTTCCTGCCACAACCTCATTTAATACTCATTCAGTACCTTCAGCTCAGTCCTGACTTTTCTGATATTACTCCTAATGTTCCTGCAGCTGAGACATGGAGGTGAGCGCAAACTAGAGCCCCTGTCAGCCTCTCTCGTCCGCTCTGTGGCAGGCGCCAACCCCCACCCA